AAATTATATTTTTTTTTGCATTTTAATTTTATTTTTGTTTTTTTTATTCATAGAAAGCATCCATCTGCTGATTGGTGGGTGGCAGCAACACAGCAGAGAAAAAGAAAAATAAAATAAATAAAATAAAATAAATAAATTTATTTTTTATTTGTTTTCTTCTGGTTTAGTTAATTAATTTTTAATCTTTAATTACTAATATAATTAAAAATAAATAAACAAATGCATAGAGAGAAAAAAAAGAAATAAATAAAACAAACAGCAACACATACAAAATACTATAAAGACAAACAAATTAAATAAAAAAAATAAAATAAAAATAAAATAAATAAAACAAATTTCAGTTTTTTTAAATAAGAGGAACCACCAAACAAACAAATGACTGCTAGCTCTAGCTGGCTGCTGCTAGCTAGCTGTAGCTAGCTGTAGCTAGCTGTAGCTAGCTGCAGCTAGCTGCAGCTAGCTGTATATAGATAGACCTAGCTAGCTCTAGCTAGCTGCAGCCAGCTGGAGCTAGCTGTAGCTAGCTGTAGCTAGCTGTAGCTAGCTCTAGCTAGCTGTAGCTAGCTGTATATAGATAGACCTAGCTAGCTCTAGCCAGCTGTAGCTAGCTGTAGCTAGCTGCAGCTAGCTGTAGCTAGCTGTATATATATAGACCTAGCTAGCTGTAGCTAGCTGAGTGAGTAGAGCTTCCCGCGTCCTTTATAAGCGACAAAAAAGTCAATGCTGCAGCTGCAGCAATAGCAGCAACAGCAGCAGCAACAGCAGCAGTAGCAGCAGCACCAGCAGCAGCAGCGCCTGCTGCACACCTAGCAGCAACCACTGTCTTCAGATTCTTGCGCTGAAGCTGCTGCTGCTGCTCTTGCTGCTGTTTTTGCAGATGCTGTTGCTGCTGCTGCTGCAGTTGTTGCTGCTGCTGCTGTTGCTGCTGCTGCTGCTGTTGCTGCTGCTGCAGCTGTTGCTGCTGCTGCTGCTGCAGCTGTTGCTGCTGCTGCAGCAGGCGGTCCTTCTTATAAGCTCTGCTTTGCTGCTCTG